GAGATGTTACAGCTGCTGGCTTAAAAGTCCTTGTTGCGCATCCTAGGATCAGGATGGGTCCACAGTTCTTTCTGGCTTTTCAATCCCTGCACTGCTGCCTCTGGGATGAAGTGCTGAGCTGAAGACCAAGATGGAGTCTGCCACATGGCCTATTTATTCCTCCTTCTTGGTTTCTTCTTGGCTATCGCAGGTCACCTGGCCCACGGCCTATTCCTGTGTTCCCTGCTGGTAGCCCTTAGGTATGAGTCACCACTCATTCTTTAGGTGTGTCCTTGGCCCATTGAGTGCCATTTTCCCACAGGGCCTCGCTATTTAGCATGTTCATAGGCCGGGCTCTGCCTAATGCTCAACCACATGCAGGGAAATATTCAGTATCCACACAGATTACAGATTCCTAACTACACACACAGACATTATACAATCACATGACTATGGTACATAGGATTAGCAGACAGTGAGCTTCTATTCAACACCCCACATGGCCCCCTTTTATACCATTTTTGGGGCCAACACCCCCACCTATGGGTGCAGCAGCGATCTGGCTGCTCCCCTCAAAATCCAGTAACGAGACACTGGGGGATTCTCCCCACAATGGGAAGCTCCTAATCCCAGGCCCAGCACCAGGAGGCAAATCTCAATGAGTGGGGCCAGCGGAGGGATTCCCAAGGCAGTAGGCCGGGAGCCGGGCAGACACAGAACCCCACAGGGCACAGACAGACAGACACACGGACGGGAGTCAGGCAGACACAAAACCCCACAGGGCACGGCCGGATGGACATAAAGAGGGGGCTGGGCAGACACAGAACCCCCTAGGGCATGAATAGACAGACACACGGACGGGGGCCAGTCAGACACAGAATCCCCCAGAGTGCGGGCAGACAGACACACGGATGGGGGCCGGGCCGTGTCTGGCTGCCAGGCACTAGGCTGGGGGGCTGGGTGGCTTGGTGCTGCAGGGAGGGCACCGTGTGGGGGGAGGGCTCAGGGCTGTTGTTGCCAATAGAGCTAAAGAAGGGAGGGGGCAGCCGACCGCATCTCCTCCTGCCTCCGTCCGGTTGTTGACTCAGGCCCAGCTGTGCCCAGCGACCATCCTCCTCGGCCCCTTGGAGGGGGTGTTGCAGGGCGGCCGGCTCAGACAGCGACCCAGGGGTTTCTCCTCCAGGGAACAATTATTCCCCCCGGGCTGGGTAACACACAAAAGGCTTTGGGTTCAGTGTGAGAAGTGGGAACCCGATGGGGCAGGCGGGAACAGGCCGAGCAAAGCCCGGTACTAAGGGAGAAAACACACATGGCACCGGCCAATCCTGAGCCACCAGGACACTTTTCCTGAAACTGCAGACTCTCCCCAGAGGGCCGAAATGTCTCTCACAAGCTGCCACGTGACTGGATTCTATGTGTGCTACCCATGTCCGTGTGTGATGTCCTTGGGTGGGGGTATGAAGACGGGCTCTAGGCTTGTGCTGGGAATGTCTGAGACGGAGCAACGGGCCAGGAATGTCCAGCCAACGACTGTGCTAATTAGCAGGGCTCCAAGGACACTGGCTCTCAGGGGGCCCAATACACCCCTGAGGGATGCGTCTGGTAACCTACAAATAATGGCTGCTGGCATGGGATACGGGGATGGGTCACGGGGCCATGTGACCTGCTCTGGCTAGGAGGACGCCAGGGGAGATACAAAGTGCCACGTAGCAACCTCCATCCTGTCTGCAATTCTGCTCCTGATCCCCGATGTAGCCTTGCGAGGGGCAGAGAGCCGGGAGGGATTACTGACCCGTCCTGACATAGGATGTACACCAGAGACTTTTAAGCCAGCAGTTTGTAACATCTCTGCTCACAGCCTGCATCGAGAACTTGGTGATTGGTGCATGTGACGTATTCCCTGCAACGACCTTACCCTCAGCCTTTTCTCTCTTTTGTTAATAAACCTTTAGCTTTTAGATGCTAAAGGACTGGCCCAGCGTGCTCTTGTGAGTAAGATCCAAAGTGGAAATTGACTGGGGATGTGTGGCTGGTTCTTTGGGACCAGAAGGGCCTGTTCGGGGTAGGTGAGATTGGGTTTTAAAACCCCTCACCTGTGTGTAAGGCCAGGGGCTGATTGTGGCACAGGGAGAGCTGGAGTGTCTGAGTGGTTTTGCATGTGAGGTTTCCGCTGGCTGAATTGTCAGTTGAAGCGCTCGGTGTGACTGGTTTGTGGCCTATTTGGGAAAGGACTCCAGTCAGGGGCCGTAAGGAGCTCTGAGTTTGAGCAATTCACCCTGCACGGACTCCCTAAGCGGTACCCGGCCCCGGCCCGGTCCTTCAGACCAGAGGAGCAGCCTCCTCGCTCGGGTGGGATCTGTCCCCCCTACTCAGCTGTTCTCCGCCAGGCGCTGAGGGGTTAGAGGTCAGTGTCCTTGAATCAGGCAATGCCCATTTGTTGGTTCCCTTTCCTCTCCCCACCTGGGACCCCACGTCCCACTGGCCCGAGGCAGGAATTCTTTCTGCTCCTTTCAATTGTGTCTCCTTTGGAGGAGATAAAACCCAGACCCAAAGTGTGTCGCAGTATTGAAGGGCCTGGCCACAGGCCTATCTGGGCCCCACTCCCATTGGGGCTCACAGGAGCAGAAAGATTCTTCGCAGGTCGTTGACTTGAGCACCACACCCATAAGTGTTTGGCGCCTGGGAGAGGGCCCTCAGAAGCTCGGTCAGAGCCCGGCCCAGAGCCGCCCGTCTTACCTCTAGCTTCTAGATGCCAAATGTATCGTCCAAACCCCCAAAGGAAACTTCTGACTCTCTGGGGGTATGTCTATACTACCCTCCTAGTTCGAACTAGAGTGATGTATGTGTACAGCAATTAACCATTGCCTCATCATACTTTTAAAAACATGACTAGTGCTATACTAAATGAAATAATTAATTTGCCCTGCTGTGACTCTTATGCAGAATGTTTATCACTAATCAGTCTCTTGAGACACTGAAGTTTGGATATCACTTTTCTAGTGCTGACACTGTGGGGAAGAGGGAGGGGGAGAGTGGCAGTCAGGTCCTCTGAGTAGTATATGGCTCAATAGCACTCGTCAAAATGTATTATTGACAGGTGTATTTTTGACCCCTTATTTACACTCCTATTACCAGCCATGT